CGCACCCACACAGTGGCTCCCACCCCCTCGGTGGCTCTCGAGGTGCCGAAGCTCTAGGGGTGCCAGCGGAGCAGGTAACCAGCCCCCACAAAGCAGAGCCGAAGCCCCGGCTAGCACCTGCTGGTTTCCAGGGTGTAAATTCTCCCAGCCACAGGGCCCTGACTGCCCGCGGCTGAGCCAGCGCCCCGGCTTCTCCGGACCTGCATGGCCCCTGTTGGCCCTGGCTCTAGCATGCCACCCGGGGGGCTCCTTCTGAGCTGCTTACACACTCCTGTTCACCCCTGCCCCCCGCCCCACCCCAATCCCAGCAGCCGGGCTCAGAGTCGGCCAGAGCTGGACGACGGGAGCGAGCTGTGGTTCCTCCGCTTATCTGGGCGGCGCAGTCCTGCCTCAGGCACGCAGGCGGGGGCTGGCGGGTGGGGGCCGGCTCCCCGGGCCACGGCTCGTTCCACCGAAAGGCACTGGTTCTGTGGAAAGGAGGGCCCTGGGCAGGCTCTGCTGGGCCTCGGGCCTTGACCTTCCTGCGTTTGCATAGAGGGAAGCGTTTTTTTTCTGGGTTATATTTACACTTCCCAAATCAGAAACGTCCCAGCAGATGGGACAGGTGGCAATCGGCAACCGCAACTCAACCACCCCCCTTTTATTTTCCATTTCTTTCTGAAACCTCCCGTGAAGGAAAGCTAACGGCACATCGGTTGGCTGCTCGGTGCACACAGCTCGCTCTGCTCTCCACACAGACGGAGCCAGGCGGAGCGCGGACCAGACAGCTCCTGGGGGTGCGGGGGCGGGGGGGGGGGGCGGAGGCCGCGCCTCACTTCCCGTCCCCGCCCCGTTGGGGAGCCCTCAGCGTGCAGCGGAGATAAGAGGAACCGGGCTCTGGCTGTAAATAAGCAGCTTTTCCGTTACACCTCCAGAGGCGGGAGTTAGCCTGGAAGCCGGTCCGCAGGCCGGGATCTGGCTCTGACAGGCTTCTCTCTGGCCGGTTTGGCTGCAGATGTCCTGTCCCTCCATTCCCACGCCCGGCCTGGGACAGCGGTCTGTAGTTAAAGCTGAACACCCGCTGCAAACCGCCCCGATGGGCAGGGCTCTCATGTGAGGCGCGCTGACCGGCATGGCTGACGAGGCGGTGTGAAATGGGGGGTGCCGTGGGGCTCTCACCTGGGAAGTATGGCGGACCCCCTCGGGGGCATGATGACCGAGGTGAGGTGGGACGTGGGTGGCTAAATATGCCACCCGGGGAGGAGTCGGCACTGCCCCCAGGGCCACCTGTGCCCATTGAGAAGCCCCGACCTGAATAGTCTGCCTGGTGGAGCTCACATCCTAACCCACCTGCGGTCCTGCCCTCCTCAGCCTCCACCGAGGGGAGGGAGTCCCGATGCACTCTCATTCACCGACTCACTCACACGTTTCATTAATTCATTCACTCACTCACTCATTCAATCACTCACTCATTCACTGACTCACTCACACGTCCCATTAATTCATTCACTCACTCACTCACTCATTCAATCACTCACTCATTCACTGACTCACTCACACGTTTCATTAATTCATTCACTCACTCACTCATTCAATCACTCACTCATTCACTGACTCACTCACACGTCCCATTAATTCATTCACTCACTCATTCATTCACTCACTCATTCACTGACTCACTCACATGTTCCATTAATTCATTCACTCACTCATTCATTCAATCACTCATTCACTGACTCACTCACACGTTCCATTAATTCATTCACTCACTCACTCATTCAATCACTCACTCATTCACTGATTCACTCACACGTTCCATTAATTCATTCACTCACTCACTCATTCATCATTCACTCATTCACTGACTCACTCACACGTTCCATTAATTCATTCACTCACTCATTCACTGCCTCACTCACATACTCCACTCATTCATTAATTCACTCACTCTTTCACTCACTCGCTCCTCACTCACTCATTTATTAATTCACTCACGCATTCATTCATTCACGCATTCATTCATTCATCATTCACTTATTCACTCACCATTCATTTATTCACTCTCATTCACTCACTCCTTCATTTACTCACTCGCTCACTCATTCCATGACCCTCACCATCATTCACACTCCTCCTGCGCCTCCGCCCCGAGCTGCTCTGGGACTTTGCCACCACCTGAGGCCTTCCTCCAGCACCACCTGCTCACTGCCCTTCCCTCCCTTTCCCAGGGCTGCCCCACCATGTTTCTCCCCAGACCTTTCCCCTGCATCAGGGCTCACTCCCTCCCTCCCTGCCCTCTTCCTACCATCCCTGCCTCCTCCTGCAGGCTCTGGCCACGCCCCCGGTTTAATGTCGTGCCAATGGCTCCGCCTCCGTGAAGGCCGGCTCTGGCAGGCCTCTCCCACCAGCGCGTAGGCAGTGCAGCCCGCCACCTGCTTAAGCCGGAGCCTCAGGCCTCTCACCCATGGCCTGTTTCTACGGGACGGGCCCCTGGTCAGCAGCACCCTTCTGAGTGCCGGACCATGTGCTCGGGAATCCCGGAAAATGGGCGTCTCTCCACTGGCATCGCCTGGCTTGGCTGTGTGCAGGTGACCACCTGCTGTCTGCCCCAGGCCTCCCGACCAGTCACAGCCTGGACACGGGCTCCCTAAGCCGCCACTCAAACCATCTCGGCCTGTTAGCCGCCAAGAGGATCGGGCTGGGGGGGGGGGCAGATGGCCGCGGGCGCCTGCAGGTGCTTCTCAGGGGAACGAAGACTCCGAGGAGCCACCCTGAGGTCCAGCAGCCAGGCCTGCGGTGCCCTGGCCCCTGCCCCCGCGGCTGCAGCTCATGATGCTGCGATAACTCCGCTCAGGCTCAGGCTTATCAGCTCGGCGATGCCCGAGATACAGCACTTCCTCCAACTGCTGAGCGAGAAGCCGGCCGCCTCCCCCGCTGCCGCCTCCAGCCGTCCTCTCCCCGCCCCCTCCCCGTGGAGCCCGCCAGGCTGTGCATCCTGTCAGGGCCCGGCTGAGGTGGGACTGACACTGAGGAAGCAGCTAAAGCAGGAAGCCTCTGCGGCTCCCCGTCCTCCCCAGACCCAGTGGAGGGTGTTCCTCAGAGAGAATTCTTGGGCAAGAAAGAAACTGTTTCTCCACACATGACCCTTTTTCTGGGTTCCAGTGAGGGGAAATAAAGATTTCTTCCTGCTGTTCTTTAGTGTTTTCCATTGTGGCCAGGGGGAGTCGAACCCGGGTCCAGCTCCCAGAAGGGAAGGACCAGATGAGCTAACTCCGCTCCCAGAAGCCACCTGCTGCCATCGGCTGCGGGGAGGGGGCCGCGGGGCCGGCCCAGCACAGAGGCCAGGGGCGCGTCCAGAGACAAGCCCAGCGCTGCCACCGGTTCACTCGCTCCCCGCGCTCTGGCCCCGCAGGAGCCATGGCTGCCCCGGCCTGGTCCTCTGGGCAGGAGGCCAGTGGAGGGCCAGCCCCTCGGGGTTTCAGGCTCGGTCACTCCTGCTGCATCAGCCACCCCCGTGCCCAGTGAGTCCTCTGGCCTGGGCCCGGCTCTGGCCCTCACTGCTCAGCGCCTGCTGTCCCCCTCAGGGCCCAGCTGGGTGGGTGCCCTGCTTCTGGCCCCTCATCTCTGCTCCAGCCCTGCCCCCCCCGCCCCTCCTCTCCGAGGGCACAGGCACCTCCAGGCGGGGGCACAGCCTTGGGAGCCCCAGGGTCCTTGCTCAAGGTTAAGACCCGGATCCTTTTGTTAAGATCAATGTGTCTGCTTCCGTCCAGGTGCCCGCACTCCCTGCTCCCCTCCCCCCTCAGGTGAGGCTGCTCTGGGTTCCGCTGCCCCTTCACAAGCCACCATTCCCTCCATTCCACCTGTTCCACCCGTTCCATCTGCCCTGCCCTGTCCCTCTGTCTGTCCGACCCTCCCCTCTGTCTGTGCTACTCTGTCCGCAGCCAAGCTTGCTGCTCCCTTCGCCCACCCTGTGCGGGGCTGGGGACGGGTCAGCGCTGCCGCCACTTTAAGGAGGAAGCCGAGGCCCGGCCCAGCCGAGGGGCTCCACTCGGTGCTTCCGTCCATCTGTCCATCTGAGATGCCGCTCCCCAGCTCTGCCGGCCCCCAGCGCTTCCTCCTCCCCACCCCACCCCACAACTCTGCGCAGAGCAAGGTGCTCCCAGGCCTTTAGCTTCCTAATTCCTGTCCCTCAGCGGTCTCCTCTGCTCTTTTAAAAATGGTTTTAAATTGATTTTAGAGAGAAAGGAAGGGAAAGGAAGAGAGAGACCTCAATGATGAGAGAGAATCACGGAGCAGCTGCCTCCAGCATGTCCTCCACTGGGGATCGAACCCCCAACCCGGGCCTGTGCCCTGACTGGGACTCGGACTGGAACCTCTTGGACCTCCGATGCTCTAACCACTGAACATGCTGGCCGAGCTCCTGTTCTCTCCACACATGCACCTCGCTCCCCACGCACAGTGCACAGTGAGGAGACGACACTCCGCACACGGGTGCCTGTGCTCACACACACTGGAAGGACGGCCTCTAAGCCGGGGGCGGCGGGCAGGGCTGGCTCGTGGGCCCTGCTCTGCTCCCCCCTCCCCCCTTCCCCCTCCCCCCTCCCCCCTCACTTCTCACGCACTGCTCTGCGCTCCGAGCCTTGTTTATCACCTGCACTTCTGCCTGTAATTTCCCATTTCCCGGTGAATGTAGCCTTTGGACCAGCGGGGAAAATGCCGGTCTGTCCCGCCACCCTGAGCGCTAGCCGAGGCAGCCTCTCGCTGACACCTGGGATGGGGGCTGTCCCCAGCCGAACCCCTAAACCCCGACACCCCCACGCCGGGCACGGAGGACGGGGACAGGCTGGCGGTGTGCCCCCCACGTGGCTGCCCCCGTGGCCGCCGTGGAGTCCCGGCCGAGCGGCCGAGCGTCTGTCAGACAGAGGGCCGCCCAGGACCCACTCCCCGGCGAGTGGCTGAGGGGCCGTGGGGAGGACGGAGACAGGAAGGAGCAGATGGAGGGGCCGCCGCCGCCCACTCACCTGCCCTGTCGCCCTTGGCGCCCTGCTGGCCTCCGGACGTGGTGGACAGGTCTTCGGGGACCGGCATGGGCTCGTCGCTGTCGTCCGGGGTGTCGCTCATGGGAGGGCTCTCCTTCCCTGTGGAGAGGGGGGTGAGTGCTGGTGCGGCCACCGTGGGCCTCACGGGCTGGGGCTGGCGCCCCTGGTGTGGCCTCAGAGGATGGGGCGGACCCTGAACCACAGGCTCTGCTGGAGATGCCGCTGGTACAGCCCTGGGGGTGCGTGTGCGCGCACGCATGTGCCCACACATTTACACACGCAGACGACACGGGGTGACACGCGTTCTTCACAAACAAACTGGCGGAGCCGGGGCGGTGACCACGGCCGCCCCCTGTGCAGGCGCGGGAGCGGGGTCTCCTGCTCTGGAACGGCCTGGCTTCTGTTCCTGTGATTTTTTAAGTTCTCACCTGAGGATACTTTCCCGTGGGTTTTTAGAGTGAGAGACAGGGGAAACACACCGAATGGCTGCCTTCTGCTCACACCCCACCCCCCCCCCCGGCCGGGACAGGGGAGGAGCCTGCAACGAGCGACACGCCCTTGACTGGAATCGAACCCGGGACTCCTGGTCCGAGGCCGACGCTCCACCCACTGAGCCGCACCAGCCAGGGCTCTTTTCCACCACAGAGCACTGTGGCGGCACCGGCACCGGCTCCGGCTCCGAGAGGGCCAGGGCCCAGCACCGGCCGACCCCGCGCAGCCGCCCGGCTCCTCACACCGGTGCCGGCTGGGCTGCGGGTGTCTGCGGGCGTCCTCGGGGTGCCCTGGGGTGGCTGCGGGTGTGCGATCCCCTCTGACCTCCGTGCTGAGGTCCGCAGGCTCGGCCGCGGGAGTCGCCTGAGAGGAGAGCGGCCTGAGGGGGAGGGGGAGCGGCCTGAGGGGAGGGGGAGCGGCCTGAGGGGAGGGGGGAGCGGCCAGAGGGGAGGGGGGAGCGGCCAGAGGGGAGGGGGAGCGGCCTGAGGGGAGGGAGAGCGGCCTGAGGGGGAGGGGGAGCGGCCTGAGGGGAGGGGGAGCGGCCTGAGGGGAGGGGGAGCGGCCTGAGGGGAGGGAGAGCGGCCTGAGGGGGAGGGGGAGCGGCCTGAGGGGAGGGGGAGCGGCCTGAGGGGGAGCGGCCTGAGGGGAGGGGGGAGCGGCCAGAGGGGAGGGGGAGCGGCCTGAGGGGGAGCGGCCTGAGGGGAGGGGGGAGCGGCCTGAGGGGAGGGGGAGCGGCCTGAGGGGAGGGGGAGCGGCCTGAGGGGAGGGAGAGCGGCCTGAGGGGGAGGGGGAGCGGCCTGAGGGGAGGGGGAGCGGCCTGAGGGGGAGCGGCCAGAGGGGAGGGGGAGCGGCCTGAGGGGGAGCGGCCTGAGGGGAGGGGGGAGCGGCCTGAGGGGAGGGGGAGCGGCCAGAGGGGAGGGGGAGCGGCCTGAGGGGAGGGGGGAGCGGCCTGAGGGGAGGGGGAGCGGCCTGAGGGGAGGGGGGAGCGGCCTGAGGGGAGGGGGAGCGGCCTGAGGGGAGGGGGGAGCGGCCTGAGGGGAGGGGGAGCGGCCTGAGGGGAGGGGGAGCGGCCTGAGGGGGAGCGGCCTGAGGGGAGGGGGGAGCGGCCAGAGGGGAGGGGGAGCGGCCTGAGGGGAGGGGGAGCGGCCTGAGGGGAGGGGGGAGCGGCCTGAGGGGAGGGGGGAGCGGCCTGAGGGGGAGCGGCCAGAGGGGAGGGGGAGCGGCCTGAGAGGGGGGAGCGGCCTGAGGGGAGGGGGGAGCGGCCTGAGGGGGAGCGGCCTGAGGGGTGGGGGAGCGGCCTGAGGGGGAGCGGCCTGAGGGGAGGGGGAGCGGCCTGAGGGGAGGGGGAGCGGCCTGAGGGGGGGGGAACGGCCTGAGGGGAGGGGGGAGCAGCCTGAGTGGGGAGCGGCCTGAGGGGTAGCGGCCTGAGGGAGAGCGGTGGGGAGTCCGCACTGCGGTCTGACGGGTGGGGCCCCGGGAGCGGAGGCGGGCAGCCTGGCCGGGGGCTCAGGCTCACCCAGGACCTGCCCGGGGCCCTCATCTTCGAAGCGCGAAGTTCCCTGTGAGCCCGCAAGCAGGGTCACCCCAGGCGCCCGTCAGCCTGACTGGACCAGAGGGGTGAGGCCCCGCCCGCCCGGGAACCACGCAACCGCCTCCGCCAGTCAGCAGGGAGGTCAGCCACTCAGCCACCGGGACACAGCCCTTCAGGGAGGGGAGGGGGACGGAGCCCGCAGGACGGGCAGCGGAGGGAGGACGGGTGGCCTGTCTCGGCTGCAGGGACCGCTGATGGCCCGGGGCGCATGGGGGGCCTGACGGTGTCCGGTTCCGCCGACCCTTCAGAGGCTGGGGGCTCACTCCCAAGACACCCACTCCGGGACACGCCCACCGGAAACACCCCCACATCGGGACACGCCTCCACAGGATACGCCTCCGCGGGACACGCCCACACCCGGGACACGCCCAAAGGACACGCCCACCACGGACCACACCCACCAGAAACACGCCCATACCTGGGACACGCCCACACAGGACACGCCCCTCCTGGTGATTGCCATGGCCGCCGGTGGAGCTGGATTTGCGGCAGGGCTCTCCCCAGGACCAGCGCCACCTGAGCTCCGGGCCTCTGTCCCCAGGGGGCCCTGCCGGGGAGAAGCTGTGGGCACATCCGGAGCCAATGCAAAGGGCGAAAAGGTGGCTCACTGTGGGAATCTCCCCGGAAAACAAAGGCCGAGAGACCCGGATGGAAACGGCTGGCTCATACCCCGGCCTGGTGGGGCGTGTGGCGTGGGGAGCAGCAGGGGCTCTCTTACGTCATACTGAGGGGGCCCGGCGGAACCGCGCCGTCTCTGGTGGGAATAATCCTGCACAGAACGTCAGGGGCTAATGTGGGGGCGCTGCAGCGGGGAGGCTAGGCCACCAGGGACCCAGGCCACTCACTCTCTCGGGGAGCCCTGGGGCCCACAGGCCTGGGAGTGGAGACCCCGTCTAAACAAGGCCTGATGGTCAGATGCGGGCCAGTGTGGCGTGTGCATGTGCGTCTCTCCCAGCAGCTGTGGTTCTCAGGCTGTGGGGGCGGGAGCTGAGACACTTCCTGTCACACCCAGCTTCTCCTGTGACCGCCTGCAGGACGTTGGGATGCTCCATGACCCTCTGATCCTGGGCTGGAGCCAGGGGCACCACGGAGAACCAGGACTTCCCCAGGAGGACCTGTCCTCTCCGCCCAACTCATGCTGGTGTGTATCCCTGTAACCCCGACGGCTTTTTAAAAATGTAATCCATCTTCTATGGAATAGAATAGCACAGAAATCGACCCAAACCACCGTGCTCCATTAATATTTGACAAAGGAGGCCAGATCATACAATGGAGTCAAGACAGTCTCTTCAATAAATGGTATTGGGAAAATTGGACAGATACATGCAAAAAAAAAAAAAAAAAAGAAAGTAGATCAACAACTTACACCAATCACAAGAATAAACTCAAAATGGATAAAGGACTTAAACCTAAGACAGGAAACCATAACAATACTAGAGGCATCCACAGGCAGAGAAACCTCAGACATATGCCAAAGCAATTTCTTCACTGATACAGTTCCTGAGGCAACGGAAGCTAAAGAGAAAATAAACAAATGGGACTACATCAAAATAAAAAGCTTCTGCACAGCAGAAGAAACCATCAACGAAACAACAAGAAAGCCCAATGTATAGGAGAACATATTTGCCAATTTTATTACCGATAAGGGCTTAATATCCAACATCTAGAGGGAACTTATACAACTTGACAAAAGGAAGATAAATAATCCAATCAAAAAAATGGGCAATGGACCTAAATAGATACTTTTCAAAAGAGGACAGAAGGAAGGCCAAGAGACATGAAAACTTGCTCAAAGTCACTAATCATATGAGAGATGTAAATCAAAACAACAATGCGGTACCATCTCACACCTGTCAGAATGGCTATTATCACAAATCAACAAATAAGTGCTGGCGAGGATGCGGAGAAAAAGGAACCCTCGTGCACTGCTGGTGGGAATGCAGACTGGTGCAACCACTGTGGAGAACAGTAATGAGTTTCCTCAAAAAACTGAAAATGGAACTCCCATTTGACCCAATGATCCCACTCCTAGGAATATATCCCAAGAAACCAGAAACACCAATCAGAAAGGACATATGCACCCCTATGTTCATAGCAGCACAATTTACAGTAGCTAAGATTTGGAAACAGCCCAAGTGCCCATCAGCAGATGAGTGGATTAGAAAACTGTGGTCCATCTGCACAATGGAATACTACACTGCTGTAAAAAAGGAGTTCTTACCATTTGCAACAGCAGGGATGGACCTGGAGAGCTTTATGCTATGCTAAGTGAAATAAGCCAGTCAGAGAAAGACAAATACCACATGATCTCATTTATGGAATATAATGAACAACATAAACTGATGAACAAAAACAGATCCGGAGACAAAGAAGCATCGATCAGACCATCAGACCTCAGAGAGAAGGCAGGGGAGGGTGGGGGTCAGGGGGAGAGATCAACCAAAGGACTTGTATGCATGCATATAAGCCTAACCAACGGACACAGACACCAGGGGGGTGAGGGCATGAGTGGGGACCTGGGGGGAAATGGGGGTGGGATAAGGACACATATGTAATGCCTTAATCAATAAAGAAAACATTTAAAACAACCAATGGGAGGAGCCAAGCCACTGAGTGAAACATTAAGGTCCCAGGCAATCTTAGAAAACAGGACAACTGACGCCTGGACCAGGAACAGCAGGGATGGGTCTGGGAGACACAAGAGCTGGCACAGTGTGGGGCTGGCAATGCAGGCAGACGGAGGGTAACCGAGGCACGTTCTCAGGCTCAGGTGAGAAAGAAGTAGGTGTTTAATGAGTGCCGTACATGTCCACGGTATTTCTCTCTCTCTCTTTCTCTCTCTCTCTCTCTCTCTCTCTCTCTTTCTCTCTCTCACACACACACACACACACACACACACACACACACACACACACACGATATGTGGCACAGCCAACACAAGCTCATTTCCACGCACGATTATTTCTGTCCATCTATCCTTTTATATCCTTATGCTGAAACTTGTTTCCAGGAATAAAAACACACTTCTGAAAAGAAACAGTCATTTCAAAGAAAAATAAAATAGAACGTAATGGACCTTTGTGCTGATGGTCTGATGGAGGGTGTGTGTGCGGGGTTTGGGGTGCCGGCAGGGGGTACAGCGCAGCCACGGGTTGGGGCCAGGAGGACGCTCACCGCCAGGCGCTGCCGGTGGGGCGGGCTGCACGCCTGAGACTAATACAACAGTGTCATCCCTGTCATCGAGAAATGAAAAAGGATTTAAAATTTAAAAAAATGTACCCACTGTTAAAAAACAAGACAGACTGCACTGGCTGAGGACACCTCGTGGCGCCAGGTTCCCTGTGTCCGACGTGGGGGGACCAGGGACTAATGCGAACAGTGGGGTGCGGTGTGAGGGTGGGCCAGCCTGATGGATAGGACCCCCCCTGCCCTCCCCGCATGGAGCAGTGGGAGCAGCAGGAGAAAGTGTCCTTGGCTCAGGCCTCCAAGCAGCCAGGGCCGGGCCACCAGAGCCCCCAGCCGCGCTGTCCGCGCCTGCCCTCGCTCCCGGCCTCAGCCCTAAGAGGCCCTGATTTGCCTAAAAGCCCGAGTCGGCGGGGCGGCTGCAGGGACAAGCGCCGTGGGCGGGAGCTGAGCGCTCAGCGACCTGGACGCCGCGCGGGCAGGCCCGGCTCAATGGGAACCCTCGCGATGGGCCAAGCCTCTTCCCGTGGACCCGACCCGTGTGGACAGTGCCCCCTGCCCCTGCCGGCCCGGGAAGGCTCCGCAGACAGAGGGCCCGGCCCCCGCGGCGCCGGAGGTTGGCAGGCACGGCGGGGGGGCGGGGGACTTAGGGCGCTGTGGCCACGGAGGCTGCGGGGCCGCGGGGTCGCCTCCTTAAAGCCCTTTCACCCGAGAAATGGGGCCGCTGTGAGGATGAAGGGACAGTGATGCGGAGCCCTCACAGGCCACTGAGCACACGGGCCACGGCAGCCACGGATGCATCAGACGTGTGCAGCCCGGGCCGTGCTCCCCTCTGCCTGGGTGAGACACGGACCACGCCGTGTGGGCAGCCGGAGAGCGGGATCTGGGGCCTCGGTTGCACTCACGTCCGCACGGCCTGAGCCCTCCCACGGGGCGTGTTCCCGTCACCCTCACTGCCCCGCGCTGCCTGAGGAGGACACGGGCGTCCCACGGTTCTCAGCCGTCGGCACCTGTGCACCGTGAGGGCGTGCCTGGGGAAGCCCTGAGTTCACGGAGACGAGGCCACACTCGCCGACCCGTTCTCACGCCCCCAGCGGCACCCCGGACCAGCGGCTCCCCCGGGCCAGCGGCTCCCCCAGGCCAGCGGCTCCCCCGGGCCAGCGGCACCCCAGGGCCAGCGGCTCCCCAGGGCCAGCACCACTGGGAAAGCTGGCCCTCGGCTGGGTCGCTGCAGCCGAGAGCGAGTCCACACCCTGTCCCCCCACCCCTCATCGCCCGCACAGCCACACAGAGGAGGGCCCCTGTGCCCGTAGCGGGTCCATCTCCAGGCGGGCACGGCTCACTCAGCACACGCCAGGGCCCGCCCCGGTCCTGGTCTCCATCACGGACAGTTCAGACCCAGAGGCAGAATTCAGGGACACCTGGGAACCAGGGGGCAGGCCGGCGACCTGGGCTGACGTGACGGGGCTGTAAATGCAGCGTACGGAAGCCCTGGAGGCCCATCTGCTGCCCCCCCCCCCCCCCTACAGCGCAGACAGGGGTGATTCCTCACCCACACCCCGGCCTGTGACCCACCCCGTCTCACCGCCTACTCCTCACAGCTCCACTTCCTGTCCCTGGGCCACGGCCCACACTGCTTGAATACACATAAGGGGCCCCGGCTGGTGTGGTTCAGTGGATAGACCCTCAGACTAAAAGGTTTGGGGTACGATTCCCATCAAGAGTTGGTTGCAGGCTCCATTCCCGACCCTGGTTGGGACTGGAAAGGCAGCCAATCAATGTGTCTCTTTCACATTGATGTTTCTCCCCGTCTCCCTCTCCCTCTCCCCCCTTCCCATTTCCCTCCCCTCTTCCTCTCCCCCATCTCCCTCCCTCTCTTTCCTTCCACTTTTTCTAAATATCAATGGAAATTTATCCTCGGGTGAATTAACAAAAACAGAAATAAAAATAAACAAACATATGGGGAAGGCAAGCAGTGTTGCTTCCACACTTAGAGATTCTAAACTTTCCCCAGCTGCTTCCTCCTCCCTCTCCCTCTCCCTCTCCCTCTCCCTCCCTCTCTCTCTCTCTCTCTCTTTCTCTCTCTCTCTCTCTCTCTCTCTCTCTCTCTCTCTCTCTCTCTCTCTCTCTCTCTCTCTCTCTCCCCCCTTCTCTCACTGTTAAACAAGGGCCTTGGCAGGTGTTGGGTCCAGAGAAGACCAGCCAGTTACCGCCCCCTTCCCCCGGGGGGGGGGGGCACGTGTAGGAAGTCCCTCCCGGCTGCCCCAGGCTTCGGGCAGAGCTGACGGTAACTGGAGATTTCGGCTCAGCCTCTCCGGCTGGGGCGGCCTCTAAGGGCTGGCATTGAACACTGACACCAACTCCCCCATGGCGTGCCCCCCCCCCCCCCGACATGACCGGAACCCCCACCGGGCCCCCGAGGGCTCACCTGAAACCTGGGACAGGTCTTGGCTCTCGTCTCCGTCCATGGTCCTCGGGGCACCTGGGAAGAGAGGGAGGGTCAGTGTCACGCAGCCCGTCAGACGGAGCACGGCGATCGGCGGGGATACAGCGCCCTCCTCCCCGAGCACGTGCGGGGAGTCTCAGATGGGCCCGGCCGGGACCCAGAGGAAGCGGCATCACAGAGATTTATAAAAATACCATCACGGCGCAGGAGGACCAAATTTGTTATTTATTGTTAATTTCCTGCTGCATAATAACCCAAAATGCAAACTGACTGCAACAAAATTAAGCAGAAAATTAAATGGCCCCGGGTCATTGTGGGGCCCGCATCCATCCTCTCGGCTGATCCATAGTTATGTTCTTTCTAATTTACTGAGCACGCATCGATGAACCTTGAGTCGGTGTGGTGACACGCGCGGCGCCCGCAATCAGAAAAACGAAGCAATTTGCTGAAGAATGTCTCATTTACCCGGGCGCGCGGGGGCCGCCGTCCGTCCATCAATAATGGATGCGCCTCCCGCCGGCAGACGGCCAGGCGTCCTTCTCTGTCCCGCTCCCGGCCGCCTGGGCCTTCCCCGCGCTCCCGCGGGGAGATAAGCCGGAGGGGCTTCCTGTTTGCTGACAGACGCCGCTCCCCGGAGGGTTCGAAAAGAGCGAGCGGCCGGAGGAGCCACCCGCGCGGGCGGGCAGAGGGCGCCCCGCAGGCTCAGCCTCGCGGGGACCACGCAGGGGCCTCCAGGCTGCTCGGCTGCGTGGCCGGGCACAGTCAGAAGAGGCCGCTCTCCCCACAGCAACCTGGGTCTGTTTTGTTTTGTTATTCAGTTTAGTTGTTTAGTTTTTTTATCGATCTCAGAGAGGAAGGGAGAGGGGGAGTGAGACAGCAACATTAATGAAGGAGAATCCTGGATCTGTTGCCTCCTGCTCGCCTCACCCTGAGGATGAAGCCCAAAACCCGGGCCTGTGCCCCGACGGGGATGGAACCCTGACCTCCTGGCTCCTAGGTCCACACTCCACTGCACAGCCGCGTGGGCCTGCTGGGTCTGCTCTCTGGGGGCCCCTCTGTCTCTTTGGCCCCGATGTATGGCTCTGAGCTGTGTGGCCTGTGTTCAGCAGAGACCTGGCCGGGGGGGGGGGGGTTGCGGGGAAGAGGGAGGCTGGGGGGGCGGGGGGTGTCTCTCAGGGGTCCCTGCCCGCTGCAGCGAGGGCGGCCATGCAGGTGGAGGCCGGGCGTGTGCTCACGGGGCACGTGGAGCACAGGTTTCTGCCCAGAGGCCGTCCTGGCCATGACGCCGGGAGTGGCCGTGGCTTCTCTGGACGGGAGGGGCTCCCCATGCATGAAGGCCCCGGCGGAGTCGCAGGGCGACACGCGTGTCCAAGGCTGCATGTGGCTCGGGCTTGGTTGGTGGCCACGGAGGGCGAAGGCCCAGGCCAGGGGACAGAGCAGCCAAAGGCAGAGCCCACCCAGCAGCCAGCAGGGCGCCAGGCCCAGGGATCCCAAGGTGTCTGAGGGCCCCCAGCTTGGCCGGTGTGGCTCAGTGGTGAGCATTGACGTATTAGCCATGAGGTCAGGGTTTGATTCCTGGTCGGGGCACAGGCCCGGGCTGTGGGTCGATCCCCAGTGGGACCGATGGCCTCGGATGCAAAGGACTCAGGCCGGGAGCAGGTGCCTGAGCGACTCGCCCTCCCCACTCCGAAGGCACAGGTCTGTCTCACGTGGAAATGGGAAACGGAGGCAGAGGGGCGTGAAGACGGGATGGCACTGGGATGGGGTCCCCGAGGAGATGCACTCGCCTCACTGCACCCCCAACCCGTCTCTCCCTCACTCTCTCCCTCTCTGTCCCTGGGTCTCTGTCTCTGTGTCTCCCTCTCTGTCTCTCTATCCCTGTGTCGCTCCCTCACTCCCTCCCTCTGTCTCCCCCTCTGTGTCTCCCTGTCTCTCCCTCTCCCCTTCTTTGTCTCTGTGTGTCTCCCTCTCTGTCTCTCTGTCCCTGTGTCTATGTCTCTGTGTCTCTCCCTCTCTCCCTCTGTCTCTGTGTCTCTCCATCTGTCTCTGTCTCTCGTCTCTGTCTCTCCCTCTCCGTGTCTCCCTGTCTCTCCCTCTGTGTCTCCGTGTCTCCCTCTCTGTCTCTGTCTCTCTGTCTCTGTGTCTGTTTGTCTCTCTGTCTCTCCCTCTCTGTCCCTGTCTCTCTGTCCTTGTCTCTCTCTGTGTCTCTCTCGGGGACAATGAGCTTTTGGAAACACCTCCTAACCTTGCCTGTCTTCCTCCTCCCACACCCACGAGGGCGGGAACTGGCTGTCCCTGGGGCAGCCCGGGAGCCTGGGCAGGGCTGTGTCCAGTGAGGAGTGGGCGGTCTGAGGGGGCGGGGCCTCGGACCTCGCAGCGCCCACCCCGTCCTGTCTCAGGAGGAGCGCCCGTCTGTCCGTGGCTCTGAGAGGGCGTCTGGCTCAGGGGAGTCGGAGCACGCGAGGCCATTGGAACCCACAGCTCCCGCCTCTCCGCCGCCCGTCCACGCGGCTGCAGGCTGAGTGCACCACCGTGGCCCGCCACCGAGCGCCCACCACCGGGCAACCCGGCTCCGCTCACAGCTCCCGTCTCCTCCCCAACACACGCCGGGCAGGACGCCAGGCAGCACCTCGGAGGGCACGGTGCGGGCCACGGTGACCGCCAGGCGCCTCGGGGAGACGCGGGCTCTGCAGCTTGTGTGGCGACAGGTGTCCACCAACCACGCGGTCACCTTGCACCACATAATAGCACTGTCCCGTCATTACGGCGTGCGCCTGAGATCGGTACAATGCCACGTGTCAATTATGCCTCAGCGATAAAGACAGAAATGACATGCACACATACACATGCACACGCATATTTACACACACACACGCACACATACACACATATTCACATACATACACACAAACGCGCATGCCCTCCCTGACACGGGCCAGGTAGAGTCTGCCCAGGAACACTTCCCAGCACCCTTAGGGATGCACATGCGCCAGACACACGCGGAGGGAACAGGCACCGTGTCCGTGCTTCACTGAAATGCCTCCCCGGGGCCCGGGCTCAGGAAACCCTGAGGCCGGCCAGACATGGCTTCCCTCTGAGCGCCAGGCCCGGTCCCCCACGCAGGCCCACGTGCTGAGGGCGTTTATCCTTAGCCAGGCCTGTTCTCACCTGCAGCCCATATCGTCATCCCATTCCACAGAGAACCCGAGGCTGAGAGAGCAGGGGCCAGCCGCAGGCATACACCGTGGAGACCACAGAGTGAGATTCGAACCCTTGACCGGGCGACGGTGACACCGTCTCAGTCCACTGTCCCTGCGGCCGGGACCTCGATGCCGGGCGCCATCACCCTGATTTCACTCGGAAGCACGCCTGCTCTTTGAAGACCTGCCATGACCGCCCCCGCCCCCCCACTCCCCCTGCCCCCCCCCCCGTTTGTTTCCATCCTGGTCACTGGTCCTCCGGCAGCACCGACCCTCCCGCCCAGCCACCTGCTCTGAGGACAGCCGGGGACTTCCGGCCCACAGCGCACGGCCTCCAGGGGGCGGCCTGGGGGGCACGGGGCCGCGGGTCACAGTCCTTCTGCCCTTTCGGTTTCCAATGAGATTTCACTCTCGGGTCCGTCCTGTCCCCATGAGAGACGCATCTCCGCCAAGAGGCAGCCGCGCGCGGCCTTGGGGCATCCGGGGACCTCCCAGGTGCTCCCGGCGCCTGGCACGGGGGGGGGGGGGGGGCGGCGGGGCACAGACTTCCTGCCCGAGGTTCACTTTCGATCCTTTTCATCTTTCAAACACGAGCTGCCTATCCATCCACGCACTCTCACAACTGTCCCACCGGCGGCTGCCCAAGTCCACGGGCAGCAGGGACTCCGGCGTGCCCCCCCCCCCCCCCCGTGCGCCCCGAACGGAGCCACAGACGCCTCCGTGGTTCTCCGCACCTGCATCCGAGGGCAATGCCGGGCTCATCTGTTCCAGGCGGGAGGGCGGGGCAGGAGGGCGGGGCTGGGGGGGCAGGAGGGCCAGCCACAAGCTGCACCTCTGAGACCTCCCAGCGGGAGCCGCACAGGGGCCGGAGGACCACGGGCTCTGACCTGCCGGCGTGGAGCGCCTGCCTCCGAGGACACAGAAGACAGTGGGCGGGGCCACCGAACAGCGGGGAGGGGCTGGACACAGGCTGACAGCAGGGGTCAGGGGTGCAGCTGGGAGCTATGGGCCAGGAGCCCCATCTGCCTGTCCAGTGTCCCTCCCACATCCGCTTATCCTGTGTCCCATGTCCCTCCCGTGTCTGCCCATCCCGTGTCCCTCTGTGTCTCTCCCGTGTCTTCCCTGTCCTGTGCCCCGCTCCTGGGAAGGGACCAGGCCGCCCCCCGGCTCTCACACTCCTCCTCCTGAGTCTGTCCACGCAGCACCAGCCTCACAATCCACACGCTGGGCCGTCCCCGCGCCTGGCCCTGGTCCTCGCCGTGCCCCTCCCTCAGGGGGACCGGCTGCTGGGCCCCGTCACTTCAGTGAACTTCAAAGCACAGACGCATTCCGTCCGCCTCTCCCCGTCCCAGAGCTCGGCACGGCCAGCGACTGCGACCTCAGACCCCGTCTCAGCATCGCCGCCGAGAGACAGCGGGGGCCCCTCCCGCCCCTCCCCGTCTGCTGTGACAGGCGGGGCCAGGCCACCGGCCGTCAGCTGTCTCCCCAAGCAGGCGCGTCCACTCGCTGGGACCCTCTTTGCCTCGGGAGCCGGCAGCCCCGTTTGGGAAAGTCTCTGCTTCCTGCTTCTCAGGCGCAGAGATGGGCGCCGAGAAGCACCTCGGGGTGGCGGTGAGCCGCACCTGCTCTTCCTGCCGCCCGCCTCCGACACGGAGCCCGGGGGTGGGGGGGGGGCCTTCCTGACCCTCTGACGCCCTCCTCGCCGGGAAGCCGGGCGGGGGGATTCTCTACGAGAACCCGCGTCTGGGCAAGGCTTTCCACCCACAGCGACGGGCTCCATCAGGTAAGCAGGCGTCTGGTCAGAAAACCCGGAGAAACCAGC